TTTGAAAAGTAATTTTTTGATAGCTGCTTTTTTTCCCTTATATGTATCTATATTACTATTAAAACCACGCAGTTAATTCGTATAAATTTTAATATAAAATCATTATGATATACAAAATTTTTATTTAGTCAAAGATACTTTGAATTGAAATAATTAGTTTTTGAATTACATTTTTATTAAATGTCTATATAATTGCTACTGAATTTCTTAATTGTGCTGTCATCTAGTAATAGTAATTTGTACCATGAAGGTAATATCAGCGAACACAATTTATGATATCTGTGTCCGCTGATAATACAAGTGTGGTACATGTACCAAGATAGTAAAACGAATAATATATTTAACTCGTCACCTATAAATCTGTCATTGTATTGCTTTTGCAATGAAATTGTGTCGTAATTAACGAAAAGGGATGAAAAGTCCTACAACAGTGATAAAAAAGGATAAATTAGTTGCTTTCCCTGTTTCACTTTTCCCATTCCATGATAAGTACATATTTCTTTATGTTAAAAGATATCTTGAATTTTGAAATCTGTTGCATTCACTTACCCCTTTCGTTGAAAGGCATACGCAATCATAATATTAATGAAATCATGTTGTAATTAATATACGAATGTGTACATACGTCGACTCGTATCATAATCGAGGGAGTTAATTTGCATTGACCGATGTCAACAGGCCGTTTGGAAATTAATTAATAATTCGTCAGTTTCACATGGCAGCCGCTTTTATAGGCTTGGTTATTAATTTCGATCGTGCTCATTTTATAAGTAGGATTTAATTTAAAATGTTCATGTTCTCAAATAATAATTCCTGTAACATTTCTAAATACAGGTTTATAATTACGTAGTTGAGAATAACAACTGTATTAGGGAGTGAAAAAGGGTGCGAATTTAGAACTTATACTTCTCCTTAATTAAATATCAAATTTATAAAATTGATATTGACGAAACCTATTAAGTGTTAATTAAATTCACAGTATTAGTAAAAGCTAAACTTTCTTCGTTATTTGGCATAACTTGTAAAAGTATTAATTAATACAACCCTTCTCGTTCACAATAAATATTCAGCAAAATTCATTATTTCCTTTTGCAAGAGTACATGTGAGAATTAAGCTGTGCAAGTGGCATTTTTGGTAATTTTACTTAGAGTTCCTTTTGTAAAACGGGATGGCGATAATGCACCACTGCAGCGAAATTAATTTCAATATTGTGCTTTGTACCTACCTAGTGAAAATTCAATTAGCTGCTCGCAGACTCACCATGAACTTTAAATTTCATATTTAATTATTTTCATGGAGCTCTTTCACTGCTGCAGTAGTTCGCAAATGATAATATAAACATCGCCACAACTGCTATTTTAACAGCATTTAAATATGCAAAATGGAAGTTGAAATTATACCTGATAATTTTAATGAGTCCAATTTAAATTTAAATAAGTAAGATGACTACATTCAGGTACTTTTTAAGCAGAGAAATATAAACTATTTAAAGGCTGTTACTCGGGTATTATCTTACAGGTATATAGGTACGTATCCCATAAAAGAATTAATATTAGCTGTTTCGCTGTTGTTTTTTGCTATAGGTTGATCATTGAGAATTACATCGAGACCTTGCATTCAAACTGAAATTGTTATTCTGTTTGAAACAACGATTCTTATAAATACCCAAATTTTCCAGATACATCCAAGTTTTCTTTTAAAGTACTTAAGTAGTTATGCTGGTTCATAAATTTAACAAGTATACAATATTTGCCATTACAACAACCGAATTCGATTGCTCTAGGATTATTGATTCATGCATTCGTANTTGTTATTACCTTACGCATAGTACTATTACGAAAACGCTATAAATTTTTATGGCGTAGATATAGACAACTTTCACAATAATTATACACTTACTACTTAATATATTTTTTTATTTAGACCATCCACTTCTAACAAAAGTTCATGAGATTGTAATCGCACCATCTTTTTCTGTTTCTTAAGGAAACTACACTCCGAAATTAATGTCTATTCCGGATAATAAAACTGATGTGAAGAAAATGCGAAGTAAAATTACAATTAAGACAACAGCAAACATCACATAAGTCTCAGTACGCAGCATTGGAATCCAAGAAATCAGAATTCCAGAGTGCATCACTCTACTGCAGCCTACATATCTCCAAAAAACCTAGAATCCTTGGAGTATCCTTACTCTAAGAATTACCTATTATCTTTTTGGCATTGATACCACACAGTTTCTGAGAGTTCCACTCTTGGACAATAAGTTTTTTAAGATTGTGTGGTCTGATTTCGCTGTTGTTTTTTGCTATAGGTTGATCATTGAGAATTACATCGAGACCTTGCATTCAAACTGAAATTGTTATTCTGTTTGAAACAACGATTCTTATAAATACCCAAATTTTCCAGATACATCCAAGTTTTCTTTTAAAGTACTTAAGTAGTTATGCTGGTTCATAAATTTAACAAGTATACAATATTTGCCATTACAACAACCGAATTCGATTGCTCTAGGATTATTGATTCATGCATTCGTATCTAATTTAGTAGTAGATGAACGTTCTACATACGGAATCTGTGCGAACTCATTTATATAATCGGAACGACATTAAAAATTCTAGTGACACAAAAGTTTTCATTATAGTTTGTAGATTAATCAAACGCTGTATGATGTGCAACTAGAAAGAAATACATTTACACGAAGCTCGTCAGACCGTTTGAAGAAAGAGACGAGGCACTTGTGGCGAAAAACCTAGTAGTAGCATGTACTTTATTGCTATTGGAAAAGCTCGCTATAAAATAAATTTCCTTTAAGAAGTGGCTGCTGTGGTGCTTCCTTTTTTTGTTCAGCTGTCTTTAGCAACGCGATTTATACTTACGTTTTTCTTTTTTTAATTGAAAATTTATCTCACATCGATCGCATATACTCTTTTATAATGATACTTTTCAAGAATTTAAATTATAAATGTGGAATTAACTGTAATTCAGCTATTCAGTATCTACCTAACTTTCTCTGACAAAAGTAGTTACTTTAATATCAAGTTTCATCAATTTTGTTTAACAAAAAAAATGTGTAGACAGGGTGATCACAAATAAATCGATCAAGAGTCATTTTGATATCGAAAAAGCCCAAAATGTACCTATGCGAAAACATTACGTAATTATTATACTTACTACTCGATATAATTCCAATATTTCTCCATTTCATAGATGTTGCGGTCACTGCAAACGCCCTGGCGATGTCAACCATTGAAGGAGCAAGGGACCTCAAAGTGACCGTTTCTTCGTCAGCATTGTTCTGAAAAGATTACGTTCTCATAATCAGTTGAAACAATTACTGATTTGCAAACTGAATTATCAGAGAGAATTAAAGCATCAGAATGATTTCATATTAACCTTTTCATCATATGTCTTTTATTTATTATAAAAAAATATTAATAAAGGTGCCATATTTTCCATTAGTTCATGTAAACTAAATACTAACTTGACATCCGCATTCGCATCCGCGGATTTCTAAAAGATAACGGAATGTTTAATTGGTGTGTGTGTGTGCTTAACTTAAACAGACCTTTCCCATTGGAACATCTAAAGGGTGCAAATGTAGTTAATTCTATCGGGTTAATGTTTTTTAATTAAAACAGATATCGGCGTGTGTGCGTAATTGTGCTCCGTATTAAAAAAGCTGAATTTATGTGAGACAGAATCGGGCAGTAAAAGTGAAAAAAGTAAAGGACAACCCTGTGGCAGACTGGTGTCTGGCTTGCAAATGGACTTTCTCTGATCATTCCTGATTTACATAGAAATTAGGTTTCTTTTGTAGCAACCGTTTCACATTTCAAATATTCTTTGGATTTCTTTTGCAATCTTCTCGAATAATATCCATAGAAATTTCTTGAAAAGTATTTTTTTATTTTCGCTTTTATACACGTATGTACATATACTTTTTAAGATTGTTTGATAGTCGACTTAATGTTGCATATTTGATTTTATTTTTTTATTGAATACTAAATGAACATTTAATCCTTTTAATGTTTCTATTAAATTTATCGTTGGGATTAGAACAAGGTATTTTAATTAAAACCGTTTTGATGGTTGAAACAATGGTGATTTTTAAATCTACATTAAGTCTGGATGAAATGAAATTATTCGTCAATGTCAATGTTTTCCTTTTTTCAAAAAGTTAATAATAATAACAAAAGCTGGTTAATATCGGAAGTTTATTTTCTAAAAAAATATTAATTCTGTCCGGCGCCTTCGCCAAAAATTAAAATTTATATTCATTTGTTTGATTTCAAAGATATTAAATTTTCCAATAATAAAAGAATTTTATTCATCAATTTTCACCTATTATTTTAAGTTATCGAAAGTCTAACATTATTACTTTTTTGACGCGTTTGTAGCTATAACTAGACGTAATTTTTCAGTTATAAAAGCAGACCTTTCAGAGCAATTGTAAGTTTTACTGCTCGATACTGGTGGATACAGATATTCAACAAAAGTAAACCTTCGAATATAGTAATTTTAAAGCAACGATCAAATGCAGTGAACCACAATAGTCGTAAAAACCAGATGGTCGGTAGCAAATAAAATTTAATGGGTGGTATTGCAAGGCAAGTGCATAAAAATATGTTAACTGTCGTTGCACATGCTTTATGTCATACGCAGATATTAAATATTATATGTCAATCGTAAATTATAAATAAATAAAATACTCTCCCAACAAATGATTCGGAAAATTAACTCGCTGTCTTTTGAAACACATTAAAAAGTACCTACTACTGAAGGTATTTTCCTGTAAAAGGGGAAGCACATTTACTTACCTGAGGGCATGACCAAGTTATGAGACTTGTGTTGTAAAAGTTTGCTATGAAATAGCTAGGATCACACATGTTGGCATCAAGAGACCCAATCACCGATCTTGAGTTCACAACTGTTCGAAGAATTTCTTGTTTATCGAAGCACATCTCTGAAAACAAAGAAATTTTTCTTATTCAATAACTCCCAACGATTTTGCTCCCCCCCGGGAGTTTGAATATGTATCGCCCTTAAAAAGACCGTTATTTTTATTGCAAAAGAAATGATGAGAGCAAGTAAAAGTGAAAATTTAGGTCAAGAAGTTTTTTTATGTGGCAAACGGTCATGAAGAGATCTAAAGGACTCAGGTGAACCGTGCAAGGAACGATACTGAATTATTAAGTAGTAGGAAGTAAAGTAAAAGGGCTCAACACGAGAAAACGATCCCTTTTTAAGAATCCTCAACTAAACAAAAGACCATCAGGCTTGAAAATGTCATCGAGAAGTGTAATTAAAGTTGATTGTTCTAGAACTTTTATTCCTGCCCTTACAAAGGACCATTACCTATCAATCTTCTCCAAATGTAATCTTTGTAAACCCGTTAAATGACCCCTTCACATAAAGGTTTTCGTATTATTAAACACAATCAGTTATTTTTATAGATGAGAATAATATTTAGCCCATAGTGGCAAATCATATTACAATATTCTTGTAGTTTTTAATTTATAAATTCACCTAACTTCACCATCTCAAAGTTGTATGGAATCGATTGGATTCAAAAGTCACAGATTTTACAATTAGTTAAAATAAGTCAAGACGGAAAGAGTGGTAGGGATATAAAGCAGAGGATAGAGCAGGGTCGAGTTCCCTTCAATAAGAAGATGTTACTTTAGAAATTCGGAAAAGATTGTTAAAGGTGCATGTTAGGAGCGCGGCGCTGTACGGATGCGAAACATGGACAGAGAAGGTTAGAAATCAAGAGGTATTAGAAAGAATAGGAGATCAGGGGACTCTATGGAAGTCAATGAGATATAGAAAAGATAGACTGGTAGGACACCTTCTTGGGCATTTTAAATATTTTATCAAAAAACATCTTTCAACTATAAAATCCAACATAATAACAAGCAAAAACAAAATCAAAATCTGTTTACGAACTAAAGAAAAAGAATTTTCTAAAAATATCGTCCAATATTCTTTCAATTTTAACGTTCAGAACTTTAATTAAAATAAAGTAAAAGGCGATTAAATCCAACATAATAACAAGCAAAAACAAAATCAAAATCTGTTTACGAACTAAAGAAAAAGAATTTTCTAAAAATATCGTCTAATATTCTTTCAATTTTAACGTTCAGAACTTTAATTAAAATAAAGTAAAAGGCGATTAACGGAATTCTTTTGTAGATTTATGAAGTAACTCCTTCTTGGATTTATTTGAAGTACTTCCACTAACCTGATTAGAAAATCCTCATTCAATCCTAACAAAAATTACATTCATCCACCTTAATGCCCCTTTATAAGGCTGATTTCTTTCGCCTATGTACCCTCAAAATAATAAGCTAATTTAAAATTGCAACATTTTTATTTTTAACAGATCAGTACATCGTCCCATGTAATTAAGTAAACATTTCGAGCCTTATAGGGCAAGGAAATACGTAACGACGGTGTAATTAAACTTTTAAGTCTTTCATTATTACTCATCGTCGACTAATTTAAGGAAACTTTGTAGGTACTGTAACATTTTCATTCGTACACTGTCAACTATCATACTTGTAAGGAAAATTCTATATTTCTTTCGTTTAATTCGATAAATATAATATTACAGAACGGTATCGCAACAACCCCTAACGCATAAATGGCGTCACCCTAAGTGAAAACTCTGCGAAATACTTTAACGTCTTCTTTAAATTCTAATTTATTGGTATAAAATTTCGATTCTATTAATATATTAACAATAAGGGATATGTCGTCAGTTGAATTGAAAATAGAACTGTCGAATACATTCTCTACAACACATTAATTCTAACCCGGTGTTGAGTTTGCAGCTAGAGCAAGGTGAATATGACAGATGAATCTGTCGCCTCGACTTGTACAGCTGTACAATTTCCAACATCTCAAAACCCAGGAAAATTGCGTTAGCAAGTTGCTTGGGGTTAATAATAAAATTGCATAAGCGACAGGCATTTAGAAAAATTATATCTCATCTTCCTTGAGATAAATAAGTGTTTTGGATATTCTAAAACATTTTTCCGCGTAGGTAAATATTTTAATTTTCGATTCTCAAGTATCTACCTACTAGACTTTACAATCCCTAAATAATCTTTATCGACCTTTAAGGATTGACATCAATCCCCGAAGGGTTCGTGTCAGCGAAAACAAAAATTTATAACTCCCTGCTTCAATTATGGGAAAATGCGGGATCGACAATAGAATCAGTCTCCGTCAACAGGTCAAAGCAATAAAACATTAAAAGTTAATGAATATGTAACAATTTGGAGGTCTACCCGAAACCAAAGAAATTAATACGTGACCTACCAGATGAAAAAGTTTAGGAATATTTTAATAGAGCATTCCATTTAGGTATTTCTTTAAAGTTTATCTTACTATAAAATTGCCCGTTTCTATTTTTCAATTTACTTCCAAGCGAAATGTTTCATTTAAATGCTTACGATAAGTGAACACTCTGAATATAAATGAAGTCATTGAAAACATCCACGTTACAAACATTAACACATGAAAGTCTAGATTGATGTTTCCCAAAATGAATACATCAGTTTCATCCTTTGTTATCCTTTACAATTGAGAGATATACGCAAACAAACGTCTTGTATATCTTAGTGAGAATAGAGAATAAAGTTCTAGACACTTCTTTCAAAAAGAAAATGCAACTTCTAAACTTTACTACATTCAGAATAAGTAAAACGATGTAGAACTTTTCGAGATTCTTGTATGACCACCCAGCAACTGTTGAATTTACTCATTGATCTACCTCTAGTATGAAGTGCTCTACTAAAATTTTGAAAGAAATTTGAAGTATGCAGTTAAGCAAATATCCCAAATTTGTAGAAAAAATCATTTTTTAAGGATACGTTAATGTTTCTTATAATCAATATCTATAGGTATTATAAAAGTAAGTGTTCAATGTGCGTGCGACTAAAACTCAGGAGTGAGTCCTAGTACGATCAAGGGAGTCATATGGTGTGGTAACTCTCCATCTCCCTTCTATGAAGAAAGTTCCCGTTTTTACCTAAATGCTTATTTTTGAAGATATAAGGGCTGGAAGTTTCGGTATAAAACATTCGAGAGTATTCGAGAGCATTCCACAACATTTCAGGACGTTCAGGATCATCCCAGATCATTGCGGAACATTCCAAAACATTCGAATGTTGCGGGATATTCTGGAACACTGTGAACCATACGAAGCCTTTTTTGAATGGGTGAAACTACTTATTGGTAAGGGTATGTAAAGCAAGAGCCGTCGTGGGTTGCAACGTTCGGGAACATCCCGGAACATTCTGAAGTGTTGTGGATTGTTCGGGAATAGTCTGGAATGTCCCAGATCGTTGTGAAACGTTCCAAAACACACTCGAATGTTGTGAAATGTTCTAGAACATTTGTGGATAGGTGGGGCTACCTGTGTACGTTTTGTATTTTAAATTTTATCCTTTTATTCCAACTACCACACAATCTCATATCAATTCCCTGAACGAAGCGGCTAGTGATAAATAAATGTTACTCACTTTCTAGTGGGGCAATTGTGATTGACATATTTTCTAGTTGTCTCTCTAAATAATCCAAATCGATGGAGTGATAACAATATTCAGAAAGTATAGCGATATGCTCAGCCGCTGTCATTAGTGGAATGCAGACAAGTATCCCCACAATTAGCAGGAGTGCCATGTCTCCCTTATCACCGAGGCATGGCACTTGGTGCCCCAATAAATGTCAACTCATTTGCTACATCTTCTGAAAATTACGTGTACCATTCTCTAGTATCGTAAGACTTATATATATGTTGAAGTAGAAGAATCTGAAAATAAAAGGAAAAGCAAATTAATAGGTACAGACCTTCGTGCGTGTGAAAATGTAACTATTTTAGTACTTATTGTCAGATAAAATAGAACGATTTAGTTAAAAAAGGTAAGAAAATGAAATAAATACTAAATTTAATTTTAATTTAATTAGTTCAAGCAATGGAAGTCAATAAAAAATAGGCGAGATAGGTTGGTATAGGCATGAAGGTCTAGTCAGAGAAATATTAGAGGCAGAAACAGGAGTTAGGAGGGGTAGAAGTAGACCTAGATTAGATTACTCTTCGCAAATAGTTAAGGATGTGGGCTGTTCTAGTTTTAGGGAAATGCGAAGTTTAGCTCAGGATAGGAAAGACTGGAGGTACGTGTCCAACCAGTCTTAGGACTGATGACCTTATGATGATGATGA